CCCCCTGTCCGGAGCCCAGGGTGCTGGCCCCATACCCACACAACTTGGGGAGCTGGGTCCCCAGGCCCCTGGGGGTAGCTTCGCTGCAGGGAGGAGAAGAGGGGGCACTAGGAAGCAGACAGACCGACAGACAGGGTGAGGGCCCCGCCTGCCACCTGGCGCCGTTCCAGCGGGACGATGGCGGGCAGCGCCGTGCCAGGCGGTAATTGCAGACAGACTAATTTAAAGAGATGAGACGGTTATTTTTAACTCGTGTTAAGGTAATGAACGGCGCGAGGGGGTGGGGGTGGGGTGGGGTTTGCGGTTCGAAAGTTCAGTGCCCACCAACCCCCACTTTCTGCGGTTCGGGGGCTCTCTCTCTCTCTCTCTCTCTCTCTCTCTCTCTCTCTCTCTCGGGCCCGGAGGACTCCAGCCTCAGGACTGAATGGAGCTGGGGCTTTGCCAGCGAGGGTGGGGTTGGCTGAGAGGGCCGGGAAGGAGGTGCCCACTGACCAAGCGCCTGGCCACGTCCTTCCAGGTGGAGAACTGCCCTGCCCTGGGGTCACATCCTAGGAAGTGGCAGGCCTGGGAGTTGAACCCCCTTCTGACCCCCAAGTTTAAGCTTTTCCTATGCCATCGAGGCTAGAAGCGAGCTTTTCCTGGAAGCCCACCTTCTCTTTTCTTTGAGTGGCAGCTGGTGGTGGCCACCACGTGTGGTCCTGGGGGCGGTGGAAGCCCTGCTCTCTGTGTCTTGTGAGGGGTGATTCTGTACTGTGTGTGGACATGAGCCTCTGGGTATGGTTGTACCAGCTGTCACAGAGCCGCTCCTCACCTCCCCGCCTCCCTCACCTGTGGCTGACTCACCAGTGCATCCCCCTCCTGCAGCCTGTGGGGGTGGGAACCTGGGAACCTGGTACACACTGGTGTCCAGTTCTTCCACATCCGGTCAGACTTCAGGTGCCCAGGGAAAGGGGGACTCACAGAGCCCAACACACCCTTCCATGCCTCCTCCCCCAGCTCAGTCCCTTCACACACTCCCAGTGACTGAGAGCTCATGACCTCTGGCACTGCCATTGTCTTGCTAGTTAGGTCTTAATGTTAGGACTTCTTTCTTTCTCCCAGCTGCGTCTCATTTCCCTGGAGCATCACTCAGGGTGTCCTAGGTCAGTCCTTTGGGGTCAGTTGGAGCTGTGGAGTTGGGAGTGGGCGTGGGGTGGACAGAGCACTGATAGGGGAACCTGACCCAGTGTATGTGAGCTGGAGCAAAACTCTCTCCCATTCCTGGTCCTCAGTATTCTCATCAGTGTCCAAAGGGCCTTAACTCGGTCTCTGGTTCTTTCCGGGGTGTGACTGACAACCCCTCTGGTTCTAGGAGTTATGAGGGGTTGGTTGGGACTGAGGACACAAAGTACTGATAGAATTTCTCAGGGTGGACGTGTATGAGTACAGGTTTGGGTGGACTCGAACTTGGGACTCCTGCTTGGAACTTCCCACCCTGCCCCTGGCAGTGCCCAGGTGGCAAACATACTCTGGGCACAATGAAGGGGCAAGTCAGTTATCCATCTGCGAAATAGGAGTCTTAATAACCACCTGGAAGAATGGCGGCCAGGTGCTTGGTTAGTGGGCACCTCCTTCCTGGCCCTCATGGCAGTCCAAGCTGGCCCCAGAGCAGGCAGATGGGGGGTGGAGGGTGTTGGGTGGGCATTAGCTGAGGCTCTGGGGCCTAGGTAGGGTGCTCAGGGGGACAGCTGGATCTAGAGCACCCCCTTCCTCCTGGCACCCTGGTTACCATAGAAACCAACTCCAGTTTGGGATGGTTTGGCTGTTTGCTGCCTCTCCCCACCCCCCAACCCATATGTGGAGGTGGGAGGGGGGCCAGGTGGCGTGTAGGGGAGGGGCCTCCCACACCCTCCCCCCCAGGGCCTCCATCTTTGCAGAGAACCTTTCTGGTCTCTAAGGGGGATGCCTCTTGTGGGAAGGGGAACAAGAATTAAGAGCAATAATGTCTGGGTGCTAGGCAGTCAGTGGGCACTTCAACATGACATTCTCTCATTTCATATTCTCTGGGATCTAACAGGTACATGTTTTTAGCCCCATTTTGCAGCTGAGGTAATGGAGGCCCAGAAAGATGAAGTCACTTGGCTACGGCAGTATAGCTGGGACGAGGCTGAGCCTAGATTTAGACCTGTCTGTTTCTACCATCTCCCAATGCCCGTGCAGTGCCAGCCCACACACCAGCCAGCCCTCCTGCCCCAAGGCTTACGCATGCTCCAGAACCCTCTGGGACTCCTCATTTCCCTTGGGAGCCAACCAAGCCCAAACTGCTGTTTGGACCCCTGGGCCCTCTGCTGGCCTTGTCCAGGCCCTGCCCTCCCTCCAACTTTCCTTGCTGCCTCTGATCTCAGGCTGCCTTCCCACTGCCACCTTGCAGCTGACACTGGAGTTCTCAACCCACACCCACTTCCACTGTCACATGCTCACCAAGGCAGCTGTAGAACTGATCCCTTGGGACACCCCTCAGAAACTAGGCGGGGTGCTTGGGTGGTTTGAACAAAGACCTCCCTCCCAGGTGATTCTGGAACCCACTGCGTCTGCCTGAGAATTTCCGCCTTAAATCCTTAGTTGTTGGCAAAACTGGCTGATGATCAGAGTTACCTAGAAGCTTTTAGTGAGTAAAGGTGTTGAGTCCCCATCTCAAACCCTCTATTTCAGACGCTCGTCAGGTGGACTTTGGAATCTATACTTTAACAGGTTTGTCTGGTGATGGTCAGATTCTGAACTGATGCCTTAGATGGTAACTTCCCCCGGCTCCTGCTTGCTCTTGCCTTCTGTTTTCCAGGGTGGACCAGCCTCTTCTCTAAGCAGGCCATCCAGGTTGAGCCACTCCTCCTCCTCCTCGCTCTTTGTTAGGTTTTCCAGAGAATTGAACGCCCTATAGTGAGCTCCAAGGGGCTGACCACTCCCCTCCACCCCCTGCCCCATCTTCAACACATTCCCCCGGCCCCCACACTGTAGCAGTCATGCTGTCTAGAACTGGAAAAAGAGAATGGGCTGCTGTGCCCTGCCACTGAGCCTTTGGCTGCAGGATGGAGGGGAAATGTCAGTGTGAGTACTCAGAATGGTGAAGAACCTGAAAGTCGCAGCCCCTGCTCTCTGGTAGCTCCCCATCTGGTGGGAGAGACAAGAGCATGTGTACAGCACAGTGTTGTTCCCACAGGATCCAATCCTGGGGCTTTAACTGAAGCCCAAGGCCTTGACCACTTGGCCCTAGTCAACCTCTCCAGCCACATCACTCACCACTCTCATCTTCTGACCCTTGCTTTATCCACACTGAACTATTCCAGCTCAGGATTCAGCCCTCACGACATGCTTTTGTTTCATTCTCACAGCAATCCTGTGAAGCTGATATGTTACTGTCCCTGTTTTGCAGATGAGGAAACTAATGCTGAGAGATATAAAGTGGCTTTCACAGTATCCCACTGTAAGTGACAGAAATGAAACTCCCCAGGGCTCATTCTTTCCTAACCTAGTGCTCTGGCCAGGCCATTCCAAACTGACCCCCGACCACCACCGCCACCATGTCCCACCCCTATCATCTCTGCTTCCCTTGGAGTTTGGCCCTGAGGCTTGCAGTCTGGGCATGCGTGGATCCAGGGTCCCTGGTTTTCTCAGAGAGCTCTTTAAGAGATGTCCCCCAGCCCATGATGTTTCCTCCCTCCATCTGCAGGCCCCAAGACTGACGGCAGCTTCCTCCATTCACTTTAATCCAGGTCCATTGTGCAGTGCTGCTCAGAGGAACTGAACATCTCCTTGACCTTGAGATTCCCCAGGGTCAATCTGGGAAGATAAGATGAGGACTCCGGATTTTGATTCAGGATAAAGACTGCTCAGGGTCATGATGGAAGGCCAGATAATAAGCTAAGGGTGTTTGGGGGAAGGGGAAGGGAACCAGACAAAGGAGGTCAGACCCTGCAGGACTCTGAGAGTTCTGGCTGTGTTGGCCAGGACTTGAGGCTGGAGAAGCAAGCAAGGGCCTAAGGGCGAGTGGCCTTGAATGCCAAAATGGGGAGCTGGTACTCCAAGCTGTTGGGGATGGAGAAAGATCACTTGAGAGTAGTGTAGAGGGTGGAGTAGGGAGCCTGGCTCAAGCGCCCAGTGTGGGCCTAGTGCTGGGGTAGAGAATATGAGCCTGAGAGAGGATGGAGGCTCACAGAGTCCAAGATTCCAGGCCTGTGGCCTTGAGGATTTCGGAGGTGAGACAGTAGTATAGTTAGGAGTCTTGGAGGCAAGAAGGGAAGGGCAGATACTAGCTCTACCACTCATCCCCTGTGTGGCCTTGGGCAACTGGACCTGTTTCCTCCTCTACAAAATGGGATAATAACAGGACTTATGCCCAAGCTTTGTTGTGAGAATTATAGGAGAAATACTTGTAAAGTGCTCAATAAATCTTAGTAAATATCATTACTGTTAATCATTACCCGGGGGGGAAGGAAAAGAACCACCTCCCTACTACTATGTTGAGTTGGGGTCCTTAAGCCCTGATCCCTGAGAGACACTGGTGTGTGTTGTGTGTGTGGGCTGTGTGTGTGTGTGTGTGTGTGTGTGTGTGTGTGTTGCAGGGGGAGGGGGGTTCTTGCTCTATTGCCTCCTTTTCTGTCCTTGAGGTATTGGATATTCAGGATGTCCAAGCTCTGTCCTGCCCTTAGGTTGACCCACTGCTTTCTAGCCCACAGAGCCTTCCCCCATGGCCTTGGGAGGCAAGCAGGCAGGATGTAGGTTCTGTATTTTCACAGATGAGGACAATGATTTGCTCAAGGTCACTCTCGAACCCAGGGCTACCTGCCCCTGGACACCAGCTCCTCTTTAACCATTGGGAGGCTTTGACCTTGGGCATGGTTCCTCCCTCTCTGGCTTGGAGTCCTATCTAGAGATCTGAATCCCCCCTCCCCCAACACTCTGGGAAGCTGTGATGCCTCCTCCACCCCTCCTGTCCCCTCCCCCTGTCCTCAGCTGGCCTTGCCTCCTCTGTAACCTGAGCTGGGGCTGTGGGGGAAGGGGCTTACCCTTTGCCAGAGGCACCTGCCAGCTGAGCAGATGTGAGGGGATGCAGGCCCCTCCCCAGGAGATCACAGGCTCTTAGCCCAGCAAGGCTTGGGCAGATAGGGCTCAGCACACCCAGCCTTGCCCTCTGGCCTCTGCACTTGTTCATCTTTTAGTGGACATTCATGCTCCAACATGCCCTGTAAGGACTTCTCAGTATCCAGGAGAAGACAGATGGCAGATGAGGACTGATGCCCCGGTCTGGGTGGGCTGGCCTGGGCTCCTAGAGCCCCTTGGCATGGGGACAGGAGGCCAAGGGCAGCCTCTGGGGGTGAGGCCAGTGTCTGTGCGGGTGGCCATGCCCCTGGGAGAGCAGATGGTTCTCTTGGCACCATGCCCACTCTTCCTTTTTTCCCCCTGGAGCCAGCCAGCAGGGCTAGGGCACAGCTGCTGGGCCCTCCCCAGAGCCAGACCCAGGGCAGGGCTGGGTGAGGTCACCGCAGCTGCTCCCAGGGCCTGAGCAGGGGTGCGGGAGGTGCTGGTGCAGAGCGAGGAGGGGGCTCAGACTGAGGAGAGACAGGGAGAGGCCTGAATGGCTTTTCACTTAGGGATTCCTTTCATCCTGGATGAGGGAAGAAAGTCTGTGGAGGGGTTGCTGAGCCAGTGTGGACAGCACCTCCCACCCCCATCCCAGGCCCACCCTGGAGCTTCTGCCTGGCCCAGGCTCCCCCCTGGGCATCTCTGAGTGGAAGAGCCTTGGTGTGAATTCTCACCACCACTTACACCCTGTGACCTCGTGCAGGTTGGTTTGTCTCTTGGAGCCTCAATTTCTCATCTGTAAAATGGGGATAATACATACACCCAGAGGGGGTTGTCACAAAGACTCAAATAAGATTTAATTGTTGAGTGCATGGCCGGTGCTGAATGTTCAGTAAATGATTGGTTCTTTCCCTCCTCACTTTGCTGAATTCTCCTGAGGAGCCAGGAGGTGAGGAGGAAGAGGAGGAGGAGGCGGAGGAGGAGGAAATGGCAGAAGCAGAATGAACGGGAGATGAAACCAGAGGGAGGGAGAAGCCTAGAGCTCTGGCCTGAGGTTTTGCTGAACAGAAACTTCACAGAATGGCCAGGCCCTGAGTGGTTTGTGGCTGCTGAGAGCTCCATCCTATGTGTGGCTTACGGTGAGCTAAGGACTGCCCACAAAGTTCAAGCGGGGAGGCAGCTCGTGCACAGTGGTACTCGGTTTGCAGTTAGATTTCTGCAATGGCACTAAGGTAGGAGCACTTATCTTTGGGGCTCACAGAGGGGACTAGAAGACGCTACAGAGCTAGCTTTGATGGAGCAGCAAAAACTGGTCGAGCAGAGAGTTGGACGGGCAAAGGGAACAGAGTGTGCAAAGGCATGGAGGTGTGAGACATCTGGGGTGGCTCAGTCTCAGATGGGCTTAAGGGAATGGAGGTGATGAAGCTGAAGAGCATCAAGGACTCTTTAATAGCAGCCTGGAGTTGGACTCAAGCCCACAGGTGATGAGGAGCCATGTGGGGGTGAACTTGGACTTCTGCTGCTGATTTATTTGCTGCCCAGGCTGGGTGTGTGGGTTCTGCTGTCTCTGGAGTGGGGGCGGGGGTGCCAGGTCCTATCCTTTGACCTAATGCCTTGCTTTGGACATTCATCTTGGCCTCTGGCTGCCCACTTCTGCCCCACTGCTGACTCTAAGCCTACTCACCTGTCAACACCTGTGGCTCTGATGCTCCGCCTGCCCTTCTGCCCCTCCTCTACTACAGGCCCTAGTACCAAGGATTTATACTTGGTCTCGGGTCCCTGGGGTCACCCAGGTTACCTCTTCTGCCAGGAAGTCTGCCTGGATTGAGCATCCCAGTTTCACCCCAGGCAGCAGAGCAAGTGACCCTGGAGAGTCTATGGCTCTGTCTGAGAGAGGTGTGTATTTTTAGGCCAGAGTGGGGTGGGGGATACGGGATGGGAAAGGGGCTGCTCCTGGGGGCTCTGAGACAGGGAGGGATGAGATTCTTGACATGTAGGATCTCATTCAGGTCTCAGCCCTCCCTCATGGATGTTGGGATTGTCACCCTGTTTTACAGGGGAGGCCCAGGGTCACTTGGATGAAGTTGGGATTCCAACCCCTGCCCTTGACCTTTCTTCCTACAGGAAGAGAGGTAGGGAGGGAGGAAGAGAAGAAATAGGAGCTGTCGAGGGGATTAGAGCCCTTGTACCCCCCTGCTCCCCCCTCCTCCCCAGGTGATCTCTGCTCAGGGAGGCACTGAGGGAGGAGCTGGATCATCATCCCCATCTTTAGACAGGCTCAGTTTCCTGAGGGAGGGGCTGGGATGAACCGCGGACAGTGATGGAACCTAGAGAGACATCCATGCCTGGTTTGGGGCTTAGATGGATGGACAAGACCCTGGACTGAACTGGGCGGGTCCTGGAATTCCCCAGGTGCCCGTGAGGCCAGGAGGTAGCAAGGGCTTACAGTGGGTGGGGCACAAGCCTTGGGTCTCCTGTCTGTGATAGAAGCCAGGAAATTTGGCTTGAGAACCAAGGCAGGGATGGCCACTGGTGTGGGCAGCAGGGCATTGCCACCCACCACATTGGGGGTATGAGCCCTGGTTTTGGAATCCAACAGCCCAGAGACCTAGACCTGGCTCTATCGCTTCCCCACTTCTTAGCCCACCTAAGCCTCAGTTTCCTCCCTTTGTAAATAGTATGTAATGAACCTAGTCTGAGTCTGGCATGTAGTAGGTGCTGCTCTTCTCTTGCCTGGGTATTTGAAGTGTGTGCCAGTGGTATGCTAGAGCTGGCTTGCACTGGCTCATGAGAGCCATCTTGCACACTTCCCAATTTTGCACTCAGTGATCACGTCATACTGGCAGCCTAAAACTGGCTGCGATGGGAGTATCCATGCCACATAAATCAGCAAAAGCTATAAATCAAGTCAGCTGGGATCTTTTCCCTCCTGGAGAGCTGGAGGAAATCCATGCTATGGGCTCTCTTTAGCCCCCGAGGGGACAAAAGGGAGGCGGGGTAATGGTGGAGTGCTGGCTGGGCCAAGCAACCTAGAATTCTAAGTCTATGGGCCCTTTTGGACCTGGGGAGATTGGACATAGTCATAGTGCCAGACAGCTCTCTGGCAGACATGGGACAGGGAATGGTGGGACCCCTTTTCTCTCCTTCACTCCCCTTCCTCAAGAGATCTGACAGGCTCTGGCTGGAGAAGTAAGATTGGATGAGGTTGAGCTATCAGAGAATGAAGCTGTGCTGGAAGGAGAAATGAGGTTGTACTGGAAGATAAATAAGGTTGTACTGTCAGGGAATGAGGTGGTACTTGGAAGCAAGGTGAGGCTGCATTATTAGATAAATGAGGTTGTACTGTCAGGGAATGAAGTGTACTTGTAGGAGAGATGACGTCCTGCTGGATCAGTCGGGTTGCACCGTCAGAGAACACAGCCACACCACAGGAGGAAGGAGAGCCTCTGACTTGGAGGATAAATGAGGGTGTCCTGCTGGATAAATGAGGGGGCCCATCAGGTGAATAGAGTGCTGTTAGCAAATGAGGTTGTACTTGCTGGATAAATGGGACTGGTGTGCTGGATAAATGGGGTTGTGCTGTCAGATGAATGCATTACTGCTCGTGGGCGAAGGGTGTCCTGGGAATAGATGAGGGTGTCCTGCTGGATAGATGAGCTGCCGCCACCAAATGGATCAGACCCTGACCACAAGGGAGACACCATCAGCGAGGACGAGGGTATTCTGTTCCCACTGGGGCTCCTGGAGTGTCTTCTGGCTCGGATGGTACAGGCTGTGAGGACCGTTGGCTGCAGCAGGCCCTGGGTTAACCAAGTCTATCTGAGAAGCAGGAGGGTGCAGGGTAGGGGCTGGAGTGGGCAGTTGCTCCGTTCACTCTGTGAGACGATCCTCACCTCTCCTGGAAGCCTTATTCCTCTCTGCCATTCTCCTTGTGGGTCATACTCTTCCTGAATTTCTCCACTCCACACTTGTCTCTTATTCTAGGTTGCCTTCTCTCAGCCCAGTTTGGAGAAGCTCCTGTCATGTGCCTGCTACTCTGCCCAGTCTCATTAATTCTTCCTGTGACATAGTATTACCTCCCTTCTCTCCCTCATTCATTCTACAAACATTTATTAAACTCCTTGTATATATCAAACTCATGAGGTACAGTAAAAAAAATGGACAAAAATCCTTCATGAATAAGTGAGGGGGCCCATCAGGCCCCCTTATATTCTAATGTTCTAATTTCCTTATCTTCTAATATAAGGAAAATCAGACAATAAGTAATAAATACAGAAGATAAATTATATATACAACATATAATTTATTAATTTATACATATACTGTATATACATATATCAATTATATATTAATTTAGAAAGTGATAATGACTTTAGAAAAAT